CTGAAGTACTGCCCTCTTCATGACAGACAGCAACAATTCCACAGGATCTGCCAAAGATGAGATTATGCTGTAATTTCCTCAAACAGCTGTGTCTGCTTTGTTATGAATAGAAGCTGTCGGGGACTGTATCCAAATCTTTAGTTCTCGCCCTTCCAAATCACATTACCAGAATTATCGCATGCCTGGGTAAGTACTTTTCTACCACTTTTAATTAATTCCAATTGTACATTACCCACTCCAAAAGGTTTATTGGCTCTTTTATTTAATATCCTGGTATCAACTTTCAGCTTCTGTCACCATCAGAAATAGTTCTTCATGAAGATTTGGGCTTCCCAAGGAGATATTCCCACCTCCTTTCCGTCCAGCACTGTATTTGTTTCATCTGTGGGCTCAGCTCTTGGCAGCCTGCAGGGCTGGCATTGGATGTGGTGGTATCTTGTTTCCCAGAGAAGGCCTCAGTGAAGCTCTGCCTGGTTTGCCAATCCTCCCCAGTGGCATTTCTTGGGACAACTGTGCATTTCAGGAGGCATCTGCTCCATTTTCTCTAGTAACTCTAAAAAACGCATCTGTTTCCCACCTCATACAAATGTATCCCTCGTCTGCTTTCCTCCGTCTCCCTGTATCACTGCACTGGTCAGACAACAGCAGTGTCTCTCTCGTGGGCCAGGATTTCTTCCTGAGGGTCTTTATCTGTGGGTGTTGTAATGCATTCAAGACTCTCATCCTTTGGACGTGCTGCTTGTGCAGAGGGCAGCAGAGCTGGAATTAGTGCTTAGCCCTTGTCCAGGATGCTCCAGGAGTTTAAAAACTTGGATTATGATGGCCTCTGAGGGAAATGGCTGGAGATTTCTCGCTTTGTGCTTTGAACTGGGTGGTGATCAAGCAGCTGTAGCTGCCTTCTGTGAGGACAAACACCCCATCAGGCCTCCTGACTCCGCTCTGAGTCGTTGCCAAGTGGGCTGGTGCACAGGTTCTCCCCATGTATCATTGAATCATAGAGTGGTTTGGGTTGAATGAGGCCTTAAAGTTTTTCTAGTTCCAACACCCTGCCATGGACAAGAACCCTTTCCACTGATCAGGTTGTTTGAAGCCCTGTCCAACCTGGCCTTGCACACTTCCAAGGATGAAACAACCACAAATTCTCTGGGCAACCTATTCCAATGGCCCCCCAGTCTCACAGTAAAGAATTTTTTCCTAATATCTGTTCTAAATCTCTATTCTTTTAATTTAAAACCATTTATCTTTGTCCTGTGAATATCTGCTCATGTAAAAAGTAATTTTCCCTCCTTTTTATAAGCTCCCTCTAAGTACTAAAAGGCTGCAAGGTGGTCTACCTGGAACCCTCTCTTCTCCAGGTAAAAAGCCTGCCTGTGTATCCTACTTCTTGGGCAGCATGACCCACTACCCCATGGGGTTGAGAGCTTTTGCCTTGCAGCTGACAGGGGATGCCTGACCTTTCACAGGCTACTGGCTCTACCCCAGAAATTTACAAACTCATTGTTTTCTGTTGTTTGCAGTTTTTATGTTTTGTTTTGTTTTGTTTTGTATTATGGTAATAGCAAGAGGCATCAGTTCAGTAGCAGATGGTTAATAAAGTGTTCAGGTGCTTCTCATACATATTGTACTGAAAGAGCAGTCAGTCTAAGCCATGCACAGTGTTACCAGAACACCGAGATGTTTTTGGTGTATCTTGCTGTAAATATTCTCAGTTTAGACTCTCAGTACTGGGATGGGTAAGCAGCTGTAACAGCCTGCATTAGGAAATGTTTATAGAGGAAGCAAAATTCTCAAGGTGTTTCAGGTTTTATTTCTTTATTTCCATGTTTGTTTGTACATGTGCTTTGATAATTCCTTTGCGTATCTCATAATTATTGCTGTTGTATTTTTGTGGCAAATTGAAAACAGAACAACCAAGATTGTGGAATTCTTCACAATTTTTTAATTTTCAATTCCTATTGGGGATAACAATATTTCTACACTGCTTGTTTAACCAAGAAAAGCACTGCTGTTACTATTCAGAAGTGGGCTGCTGCTTTCTTTTTCCAGCCAGTTTTATTTTACAAACTTGAGCTCTGCTGATGAAGTCCCTGCTGGATGTCCTGGGGCAAAAATCATCCAGCTTGGCTTCTCCTTCCTACTGATGTCTCCAGAGGTTAGGGTGAGACCTATTGGCCAAATGTAACTTGGAGTGTAGTAGAGGAACTGCAATATCAGATGGGAAGAAACTCTTGTATGCTTCTTTCCTAGATCATCATTAAATGGGCTCAGGTTTAAAATAGAGTCTCATAAGAGATACACATCTTAGAAGGAACCTGATACAGCTGGAGTTAAACAGAAGTATTTAATTGTGTTTCTGGCTCCTTGAACTTTTCTTCTCCCTGTGGGATTCATAGCTAAACATAGTCTGGTGAATATAATTTTGTTCCACTGTCTAGCATGTTCACATCGCTTTGTAAAAGGTTTTTTTTTTTTTTTTTTTTGTTTTTTTTTTTGGGGTTTTTTTTTTTTTTTGTTTTGTTTGTTTTTTGTTTTTGTTTTTTTTTTTTTTCCACAAATACATTTATAGATCCTGCTATGACTTCATTTTCTACTCTCAGTGGTTCAGAGGGGATATTTTTACATTATACAGTATCAAGAAAATTTTATCCATATAAATCCTTACATATACCAAGTTCAGTCTTGAAGATTGCCGACATATTTCTTGTCCAGAGTTCCTAGTGATATGCTGCTAAGTGATGTGGTGTTGTCTTTGCTGGGCTTGAGACTCCTCATACTCCCTTCTCTTGTTCTGAGGAGGGCATCTGAAGTTAGGAGGCTCATGTCCCTCTCATCTCAGAGCATTCCTGCACAGCAGGGAGTGACTTCAGATGTGTGTATGTCAGCCAACATCAGTCAAGAGAGGTGAGTAATAAAAAATAGAGGAAGAGCCAGCAGAACCCAGACACAGCTGAGTCTTTTCATCTCACTGACTCCAAAGAGCGTAGTGAAGTTGAGTCTGGACAATGCCATTTAAAATAAATTATCTTGCAGAAAACCCAAGCCAAAGCTTCTTAAATAGCAGCTATTTACAGAAGAATGATCAAATCTAAGGTCCCAAATGTAACACAAAACCATGTATCTTACTTCCAAATGGGCTTGTCGCAATATGTAAATGTTCAACACATTGACTGAACCAAGGTCCAAAGTTTGTATTCCCTAATAGGAAAATACATTATATTTTAATATTAATTTAGTAGGAGTTCTGTATCTTCTATAGCAGAATGGAACCTTGCATTATTTACAGGCGGTGTAGTTATTGTAATGGTAGTCATAAAACACGTTACAAAGTCAAGCAGGCAATATTCTGCAAAAAAAGAAAATATATTTGGGTAACTGTATGGGTGTTAATTGTAAGAATGTAGTGGATTCTACAAGTCTTTGACATCCCTAATCTGTGGCTGGATGTCACAAGGAGAGATGAAATTGGAACGTTGGGTGCATGGAGTCCATCGCTGTCAGCTTTAAGGGGCTAGATTCAGCTGTCAGTGTCCTGAGGTTGAGCAGAGCCCTGTGTTAGAGGGGGGCCAGGTCTTTCTTGACCTTCATGTTAATAAATTTGCACTAGCAACATTGAGCCAAAGTGCTTGGTCTGGCCTCTGAAGCACACCAGCACATCCTCTCTGCACAATGTGTGTGAAGATGCTTTCAGTGAACGCAGGGACCCAGACTGGCACCCAAATACTGCAGACAGAGCACTGGACTTATTCTGCACTTCTAATTAGTGCCCCTGTGAGCCCCTGGCTAGAAACCCAGCACAGCTGGGAGTGTCACAAATGTTTTGAATTCCAGCTTCTGGGAAATGTGGAGCATGTTCCAGTTTCCAGTGTCCATGTTTCTTTGTGATGAAGGGTATGAACACACAGGGTACAAGAAATATCTCAGAGAGTGAATTTGGGCATGGTATAGGCAGAAATTTCATCTTCATCTTGTTGGAGGTGATAGAGGACAAAATCTGGGCTCCCGAAGCCAAACGTGTGATGGAGCCAAAAAGAGATGCACTGTATTGGGAATAGTGTATAATCCTCTATATTTAAAAATGCACACATTCATCTGTCTCAGAAAAAATACAATTTTCCTTTGCAGGCCTCCAGCCACAGCTTTTGCTTTCTTGGAATCTATAAATACGGCTAAGAAATGTCAAAGGGGATGGGGTGTCAGCACAAGAACAGCAGTTATTCCTAAAAGCCATAAACAACTTCTGTGGACCTGGAATTTTATTATTGATGACTAATCTATACAGTGATGCTTTAAATGCTTCAGCAGCCACTCTTGGTGTAATAATTGTTGAAGCAATATGCAAATGTTTAGATCCTCAAGACTGGATCCCCCCCTCACCTGGCTATTTTTGTTTATTTCCAGTTGTAAACCTATGTGTCTTAAAAACACATAGGTTTACAACTGGAAATAAACAACTACTTCTCTAACCAGGACAGTTTTTGCTATGTAACTTCTTGAGTCAGAGATTTGTGCTACACTAAGAACTTTTGCTGGGAGCAAAGCTGTAATTGAAACAACATTTAAAGTGTTTGAAAACACTCTTTCCTGGGGTTATACCTGAGAGTGCTGTTGGTTTTAAGTTTGATTTAGTTAGCATGATTCCTGACACCAGTGTAATGTTGTCTGTTTGGGGTTTTGTTTTATTTCTGTTTGAATTTTTTTTCCCCTTAGGTTGGCTGGATTAACTGGCTCTCATTCAGAGGGAACTTGGCAGATCTATTCTGCTTTTGCTGAACCTCTCTACAGCACATCATAAAGATTTCCTTGGTCCAGAAGCTGCAGAAAAGACAACTGAGCAGCAGAAAAATGTGACTCTGAGAAGAGACTTCAAGACTTCTGATGATGAATTTTCTACTGATCAGTTCTCATTTAAATGTATAACTGAAGCATGCATAAAAGTTAACCTGATAGGGAAAAAAAACCTTCTCATTAATTAGAACTGACCAAAAAAAAAAAAAAAAAAAAAAAAAGGCAGCAAGCAGTCACCTGAAGCTTCAAGATGAGTGCTCCACTAATTCCAAACAAGTCATGTTATTCCCAGCTTCATGACAACCGCAGTGAAATACGAAACAACAATGAAAGTATAGTGAATGTTGGGGATACCAATGCCAACCAAATTGTAACAAAAGTTAGAACCACTGAAGGGGATGTTAAGAAACATGATTTGACAGATGAGAGTGGGAATATATACTCTGGAGGAACAGAGAAAGCGACTCATCTGCCTACAGAGCAGAATAAACTTCTGACCTTCAAAGACTCTCGAACCTGTCACACCAGTGCACAGGAAAGTAAGCTGCTCTCCACCACAAGCAGGGAAATGGGGAAAGATTGCAGGACCAGCGAAGCTAAGGATATATCAAGGCATATCAGGATTAGCCGAGGACAAAGTCTGTCCAATTTAAAAAGTAGCACAAATGATGCCAACCTGGAGGTTGTCTCCAAAGGTAATATTGACTTCACACAGAACTTTCCTAAGGGAAAAACGTCCAGGACTGTGGAGGTGGAGAGAATAAAAAGGCTTTCTTTGGGAAGACCAAGTAAATTTTCTTCTCAGCCTGAAACATTTGCAAAAGACGGCGTTGGTCGCGTGTCGTGCAAACGTCTGCTTTCTGCATCGTTGGACTCCATCGACAGGTCTCACCACTTGGTAGGAAGTACAGAGAAATCCCAGAAAACATCCACGGATCATTTTCTTGGGATGGTGTTTTGTCCACTTGACAATACCTCAGAGGAAAGGACTGTATTTTATTCCACACCATCTACCTCAGGGAACAAGAAAACAAGTAAACCAGAAAATGTACCAAATGTTAGCATTGAAAGCACACTGCATGCTTCTCATTCTCAACATTCAGCTGTTAAGCTCAATGAGGTTGCTAGTAAATCAGAAGCACAATTAGGTCAGGGTGATAAAAGTAAAAAACTGGAGCTTAGGACTGCACCATCTCTACAATATAAAAATACGTGTCCACAAAAGATAGAGAGAATTATGCTGGTAGAGTTCCTGGGGTGTCCAAGAGCTGAAAATACAGCAGTGCAGGAACAGAAAAGCTCTGGGTCTGACATGTCAAAATTTCAAGTATCCCCTTTTCACAACACCTGTAATAGAGTAGAGGATCCATTGTCAAGCCAGGTAGTAACTCATCCTGATGAAAAATTGCAAAATGATAACATTGCAATCAGTAGGGAAGGAAGAGGAAGCAATGACAGTGACAGCAGGGCAGCCAGCCAGGCTGGTGAGGAATGTTTTACTGATGAGGAAATGGAAACAATATTTCCACTCACCTGCAATAGTAAATCCAGCATCAAAGTGACACCAAGAAAAAACAAAAATTTGCATGGAGTTGACACAGGTTGTGCTGAAACAGTTGGTGAACAGATATCTTCTATACATGATATTAATCCACCTGACAGCAAACCCTTGGAAGTTAATGAGAATAAACTGATGATAGTCAAAGAAAGCACTGAGGATGCTGTTGTGCCTGCGTCTGATCCCTCAGATCATCACAGAGCACGCAGTGCAGAGACAGTGTCAAACCAACAACCTGACAGTCACAGCAGTAATGTGGAAACCTCAAATGTTTCCGTTTCAAGTAAAGAAACAGCTAATGTAGAGAAACATCCTCTAGAGGAAGCACCAGAGAGTGGTAACATTCCAGCAAAGGCTGATGTCTTTTTATGTGTCCCAACTCCTGTGCGCCCACTGGCAACGCCGGATGTTAATGGTCAGCCCATACTATCAAACAGTAATTTGAAGGACCTTTATGCACTTCATGATGGCAAATTGTCACCCTCCTCAGTCCTACCTCCCACTGACAGCACACAGTTGTTAAACTTATCCCCTAAAGTGCCTATCAAGACTGCTTGCAGCAGTGCCATCCCAAAACCTATCCTGGTCCACCCCAAGGGCTCCCTCACAGATAAGGCTGGTGTGGACAGTGACTGCAGTGAAAAGCTGGAAGAAGGCGTTGAGATAAAACCTGCCATCCCCCGGCCTAAGCCTGTGAGACCTAAAATCATCACGTACATTAGGAGAAACCCTCGTTCCATAGAGCAGCTGGACCCTTTGTTCGCGCCGGCAGGGCTGCCCTTCGATGGCCCCACATGCAGCGTGCCCGTCCCCGCGGAGCAGAAGGCGTCCAACGGAGGGGAGGCGAAGCCCGCCAGCGTCCTGTATGACAAATTTAAACCTGACCTCCAGAAGCCAAGGCTCTTTGGTTCTGGACTAGTAGTGTCAGGAATTAGGCCCCCAGTTCATCACTTGGGTCCAATGGGCGAGAAGTTTCTGCAGGAGGTAAGTTTCTGCATCTTAGACAGCTGCTTTTTTGTGCCAGGTGGTGATTATTTGCTTGTTTGCTGCTGCCAGAAGTTAGTTCTCAAACCTCAAATAAGAAATAAATCCTAAAACAATGTGTGACCATTAGGAATAAACTTACCTAACTGTTTCTAGCACTGACCCTGTTGTGATATCTTAGCCGTTACTGGAAGTTGTTACTGCATTCTTCCAGTATTTTCCAGCAAATTGATCACCTGCTAGTATTATAAATAGGGATATTTAGAAAGAAAAAGACATGCTGAATTGAATAAATAATCTTTTTGGTTTTGCATCCTGAAGAATAGCTTTGGGAAATGATTGTAATTTGCCCAAGACTCTTCCTTCCTAATGGGAAAGTTGGCAGGATTTTGTAGACAGAACACTAGAGGTCTAAACTAATTCCATTCTGTTTAGCTGTATGGAAACCCAGGGACTATCAGAGCTCTTTTTGGATTATACATATAATACAAAAGAAGATTTACTTTTGACTAATTTTAATGCTGTTTATTACACTGACCTGCACCTCAAAAAAGATTTTTTCTTTTCCCTGGAAACCATCCTAAGCAGCCAAAATGTGATGGAAGTCCCTCTAGACGCCTCTGGCTCCAGATATCTCACTGTGTTTCTGCCTTGCTAAACTGGGCAGGAGCCTTGAGTTCCCAAAATTCCCCCTGGGAGGTGAGTACAGTGGAGGAAGGATGAGCTTGCTTGGTAGGTGGAGGAAGGACAGGACAGAGCAAGCCGTGTCTGTCATTTCCTCGTGTATCCACTGCTTGGGACCTGAGGTAGTTCAACAACCAAGCTTTTCATACAAACACTGAAGATAACACAATTTTTTTATTTGAAGGAGTCTTTAAAAAAAGGATATGGTTTTTTGTTCCGTGTCTTGTGGTGTTATTAAGGCTATTTTACTCCCTACCTCATTCTACATACAGTATAGATCCAAGGAACAGCATTGAAATAAAAAATTTAGTGACTCAGTCAAAACCTGGCAAATACCCAAAATAAGATACTGTGTGTGAGTGTAGATTGACCCTTATGGCATATTAACTAGAAACCTACTGAAGTGAGCAAAGATTATAGTTATTTCTTATCACAAGCACAGAAAGAACAGTACTTGCTGTCCTTTTTCTTTTAACTTCAGTTTTCAGCTCTGTCCCTTGTATTTCATGTCCAGGGAATGATTTACTAAAATCTTTGGGAGATTGTCTATTCCAGCCATCATTAGTATATTTTCACAATTGCCTTGTAAGCTGAGGGGAAATTACTAGGTTACTGCTGTTGAGTGCATGGCAATGGAATGAAAGCCAAAACGACCCAGACTGTGCACTGGCTGTTTGACTGTTTCTAGGGTGGCATGACCCTCTGAAGGCCACAGGTGTCTGTGAGAGCTGGGGTTCAGATAATCAGGCAGGATCAGCAGACACATCTGTGAACAAAGGACAGATTTCTGAGCACTGCTGAGGACTGGTTTTAGCATGAGAAGGATTCGGGTTGTGGCAAGCCTGCAGTGTGATTTTCTCTAGACTAGGGTTAGAAGTAGGACAATTAGGAGCTGGAGAGGATCTTCCCTTGTTCCTCCAAGAAATATGATTTTTGGTGGGTATTTCAGCGAGGGAATATCTGAACCCAAGCAAACTGCTTCTTCAGAGAAGCTGGACTAACTGGAGAAGACTCTGAGAAGAAAAAGTCGAACTATGGTTTGTGCTACGAGTTTGTGTTAGGCCAGGATTCAGGAGCTGATGGCAGAAGATGGAATCTGCTTTCTTGGACTGCCACGTTAAAAGCAATAACCTGGCTGTCCTGCCAGCTCGAGGAACACAACCTGATTTGGCTCAGTATGCATCAAGAGAAAGGAAAATTATCAATCCATGAAGGTGAACAGATGCTTAAAAGAGCAGCTGTGCACAGTGTGGGTTAGTAGCAGATGAGTGACGTGTAATCCAAAAGAAACCAATTAGGATACACTTAAATAGATCCAAATCACTGAGCTGAAGGGAGAATGTGGAAGACTCAGTGGTTTTGGAGACAAGGAGACTCTGGCATGATGGCCACTGTCTTTGTTGGAAAAAAAATTCCAGATTGACCTATATCACACATCCAGTATTGTCTTTGGAGAGCTTTGATTAGCACTTTGGTAGCTCTTTATATAGCTATGATAGTGTTAATAGTTGCAATCTCTAGGCATCATTCAGCTAAGTGGTAGGAACAATTAAATATCCCTCTGGGTCCCAGGCGTAGAAGAAATAGGAAGGTGCTGTATTGGCAGGAGACTCAAAGAAAAGGCCTGGACAACTCTACGAGAAAGACTCAAGGGCTGCCTTTGTGCAGTGAGAAGCTTGCAGGGCTTCTTGAGCTGCCTGTGCCAAAGCCCACTCCAGGCAGCTCAGACAAAATCCCAGCTCCAGCATGAAGGCAGTCCAGCGGCGCTGAGGGGTTGGGTCCACAGTGGAATTGAGTTTCACTGAATGGGCAGAAGAATGGGCAAAAGAAAAGAAAACCTCTCAAGGTGAAATGAAAAATGCTTAAGAAAACCAGTCCTTTTCTAGTGAAAGTCACTGTTGTCCGCATCCTTGATCACAACGTGGGCTCCTCATCTCATTGTGGACCTCACCCTCTTCTAGTCAGCACCAGTGAGTGTTTGTGGGCTCTTTGTTCTCCCAGTAGCCTCTGTGGGAAGTTACAGGGCAAATCAAGTTACAGGGACCCAAAGACTGTAGCTGTCCTAGTGAACTGAACAGTGGAATGACATGGCCTCCAAGGCTCAGGGCAGGTTAATTGCTGGACTGGGAGCATGCTTCCCAGCTCAGGATCCAGCCCTGCCAGAGCGTGCTCACCCAGAGGCTGCTGCCAAGGGCCACCATGGATCAGCCTGGTCTACAGACGGAGAGTTTACTCGTACAGGTACAGGCTGTGCACTGTCAGAGAGTGGTCACTGGCCACTTTATTCACTGTTTTATGGCTGCTGCCAAGAGCCCTGACTTGGTGAGGGTCTGCGAGGAGGTCTGCTGATCACCAGCTCTCCTGCCTGCCTCACCAAGACTGTGACAGCCCCATTCATCTACACCATTCATTCTGAGTCTCTGCCTCAGCAGAGACATCATTGTGGTCCAGAGAAGATGGACTGAAGTCTGTTGAAACAAAAAGCCTGCTGAGGTAAAAAGGACTCGGAGGAGTTGTTTTATATATAGTCAAACCAAAAGTTTCTCCCCTTGATCCTGTTATTTGAACTGATGTTGCAAACTCTTTTCCCAAAGAGTTGCCTGAAGCAGGCACTTCACAAGCAAATTCTTCCTCGAGGCGTTAATGTTTGATGACGTTTTAAACAAAGTAACGTGAAGGAAAGTTGGACATCCGTACCTGCTGGCCATGCTGCCAGCTCTGCTCAGGAATACCCAGCCTGTGGAAATTCCTGTATGCTCAAAGTATTTGTAGCAGACTTTTCTGGCTCATTTTAACAAATCCATTAATGGGTGTGTAGATAATGAGCAGACAGCCCCACAGAAGAGAACTCTGGGCTGGCCTTCTTGGTGGAGAGGCTGCAACAGATCATTTCCCTAGAAGTCCCTCATATAAAAATCCAGTACAGGGTGCTAACAGGGGTCATATAATCCACATCTTTCTGAAGAGCTTTAAAATGGCAATGATTTTATACAATTCTGTTGAGACCAGTTGAATTTTGCACTTCATGAATTCATAGTTAAATAGAAAGGAAAAAATAGTGTATCTTCATAGCAAGTTCATGTCCTCCAAAACTGGGGTCTTCAAAAAATAGCATTTAATTATTGAGAGATATTTGGGCAAAATCAGTTGGACTTGATTATCTTAAGGGTCTTTTCCAATCTAAATTATTCTGTTCTAAGTCCTTCTCCTTGAGAAGGGCTCTTTCCTTGAGAAGAGGTTTTATGCTTGTGATTGATTGCATTTGTGTCCATGTTTGTTGCCCTTCTCTGTTACTCTTAGCATACTGTCAAGAAAGAAAAAGAAATGGGGTGAGAGAAGATTTGAATAAACTGGCCCAGTTTATCATAAAATGCTTATTTTCTGTGTTTAATGATTTTCTCTTTTTCTTATACTGAAATACTTGGCATTGGTGCTGAACTTTTATTTAAGTATGAAATGATAGTATGCATAGTGTAATCTGATAGAAATAAATTTATCAGGGAGAGAGAAGATAACTGAGGCTTATCCAGAAAAACAATCTCATATCTAGAAGCTGGAAGTAAGAAGCCAGACATCTGCAGTCCAAGTCTGCAGAATCATTCATATTATACAGCAAAAAACTGCATCCTAACTTTAAATAGGTCATAGGAGTATAATAAAAAAGAAAAGAGAAAGATCTAATGGCAGGAAATAGGACTGCAAATAGAGGGAAAAATATAGGGCAAAACTATAAAGCTCAGTGTTTGTTGCATCTGTCCTCCTAGTTCCTGTGCAAAGACCTCAAATATTCTTCTATATTTCATAGTTTAAGGCCAATCTTGTCTCTTAGCATATTAAAGATTTGCTAAACTAGGATTAAAGCTCTTGAAGGAGCTAGGATCAAAGCTTTTATAGCCAATGTTGAAGTGCATATTCTAATGCTTATAATTGCTAAATAGAAATTGATTTGGCATATTATATGCATCATAACTTACAGCAGAGTTAATTAATTGGCAGTTACATTTCTTCCTAGGTAGCCCGTGGCACTTTTTGATTAATTTTTAAACAAATTTAGTTTCCTATTGCCTATGTTTTTTTTTTTTCTTTTTTTCTGTGGCCTAAATGGGATGACTGAAAAAATATTCATAAGTCCTTTCTACATTATGATGATATTGCATTTTATAAGAAAACGGTGAAGAAGTTGGACTCTACTCAGAAGAGCAAACAATTCTTTGCAAATGTGAGAAATGAAAACTCTGCACTCTTGTCCTGAGTCACGAAGCAGCACAGAAAAGTGGGAGTCAGAGTCCATCTTGAATGCACAAAGACACAAGGGCTGAATCACGGAACCAGATCATTCCTCGAGTGCAAGTTCAGTGTTCTGAGCCAGCTATGAGCTGGAAATATTTCCAGCTTGGGACTTACACTGCTGTTCTTACAGTAAATGTCCATTAAAATACTGAGAGATTTGATGCTGATTTTAACAAAGCAGTATCTATTTGTGATAAATAGCAAAGGTTTCACATTTGCAAACCTGATAGTTTTTTCCTCCAATTCTCATGGACATATGGGTTTTGTAGCTCTGATTTGGAATATTCAACAGGCCTCTGAAAGCATAAATTAGAGAAATGTGCTCACATCCACAACCAGGTCTCTTTCCAGGAATTAGAGGGGCACAGATTATAATGAACATTTTGCAGTGAGAACATACTGGGGGTTCTTTTTTTTTTTTTTGTCACAGAAATTATTTGGCAGTACAATTTCTCTGATAAAATATACCTAAAACACCACCAGCTTTATTTTTAGCTAAGTCAAAACCAATTTCTCCCAGAACTGGGCAATATTATTTTAAATAACTTCTAATAAAAATTCCATTTACACAGTCTCTTAGTATATCCACCTCTGTAAATAATATAACCTTTCGTGGCTTAACAGTTCCCTCATTTTCATTAATTGAAGGTCTTCCATGTGTCCATTTTCTTTTGGGGAAGGCATCAATTCTTTATTTAGGTGTAGTTGCACATTGAGGGTGTAATATGCATGTTTTTGAAGAGTAATTCACGTAGTAAGACCATAAATTTATGAAAGTTTGCAGTGCTCTGAGGACCAGATTCACAAGGAGGGAAATTTAGCCTTTACAAGCAATTTGGAGCTCCACATTGTCTGGGTTTATTGATTTATTGTGTAATATCTGTGTTAATGATTTTTCTGCAGGTTGGGGAAAGGCCTGCAAAAGATGAATTTTGCCCTCCACCATACACCCACTATGAGGTGCCACCAAGCTTTTATCGATCTGCCATGATTCTGAAGCCACAGCTAGGGCTGGGTGCAGTGTCCAGGTTGCCATCTGCCAAGAGCAGGATTCTCATTGCGAGTCAAAGATCCTCAGGGAGTTGTCTCCATCAGCAAGGAGAAATAACAAGTGCTCCCAGCCTCTACCATCCTGATGCTTCAGGTAAAGTATGAACTTTCTTTCCTTTCCCTTTACTGTTGTCACCAATTAGATACCTTTTTTTGGAGACAGAAAAATCACAAAATTAGCAACATTTTGTCTGATCCTACAAAGCTCCAACAGCACCCTTTGAGGTGTGTCTTTTTATCCTGCAGCAAGGCTGATTAGGGAGTCTGGGACTTGTGCAAAGGTTTTTTCGCAGGTCATTGCCAAAGAAAGATAATAGTTGTCAATAATAATTCTCATTTTTCACCTTTCTTCCTCTGCCTTGTAAATGCCTGAAAAATCTTTGGTTTTGTTCTGGGGAAGATAATGGGACATTTTCTTCCATCATGAAGACCTCACCATTCAGTCTGGATTTGACATTCCCCACCACGTTGTGCTCTGAAAACCTGGGCAGTGTTCAAGTGTGCCAGCAGAGATCTTGATTCTCTGAAGGCCTGGTGTACACCTCTTTGAAGACAACACTTCCAATAATTTCTTCTTCCTAGCTACTATCCAGCTCAGCATGACCCAGGGCAGAATTACAGGGGAGGGAAAAGCACAGGAAGAGCGGGAAGGAGAAGTGTACGATGTCACAAGAAAGAGAGAGTAATTACTTCTACAGGACATTCCTTAATAGCCTGGAAAAATGTGGAAGTTTAAGAAATGCACAGGAGCAAGTTCAGAGACAATTGAAAATCAGTCATTGTCAGAGTGAAGTACAGCAGCTGTTTAACAGCCTAGAATACTGCAGAGATTTTTAAAACTAGTCATAAGGGCTAAAGTTAATTTATGACTTAAGGTCATATGATCTCTTCTGTTGCCCTAGGATGGGATTCCTTCTGATGTATCCTTATTTAACCTGTTCACGAAAAACTACTTATAAAAACCTTTGATATGAGATCTTGGAGCCTCTGAAAGCAGCTCTGCTCCTATGCATTACCTATTTTCAAGTTAAAAGTGTTCCCTAGTGTTTTGCCTAAGCCCCTTTGTTGCAGTTTGCTTCCTCTTTCATCTGGAGTAGTTGTGGGGTCTTTTCCTCTTTGCAGGTATTTGAAAACTATTACCATCTCTCCACAGAGTCTATTTGTCCATACTAAGAAGCAGGAGAAATTTAGAAAAAAATTAGAATGGAAATGCACCAGAGCATCTTGACTTTACCCTGAGAGGACAGTCTCAGTCAGTAATACAGGTTGACAGGATTTGGGGCTTATCAGAAAATCAAGGTTCTCTGTAATACACTGCCTCTTGCCAGTATCCTTTACTATCTGACCCTGCATGTGGAGTGTATCTGATGCCATTAGCAGAAGCTGACCAAACTCAGCTGTATGTGACTTCTGAGACACCCCAGGATTGCAGGCTAGGTTGTAAATACCATTTCAGCCCTGTGACTTGAGTTCAGTCAGCAATGAACATGGGAATACAGGTGCAGAGAGTAACTGGATCATCATTTCCATTTAAATGAAACTGCAAGAGTCTGTGAGTTCAGGATATGAGTAGGGTAAGCCCTTGTGTTATAGGAACCAGTTTGGGAGATTGATAAGAGAGAAAATGCAAACAGAACCCATTACCAAATAAACGTTTTTTTCTGATCCTCAAAAATGAGCACTGCCTTCATTTTTATTCATCCATCACCCATCCATTATCCACATTATCCTGCATCATTGATGCTAGCAGACTTTTCCTTAGCCACTTTTAATCCATACAGCAGCTTGTCTTGCATGTATTCATTTACCATCTTCTATGTTATGTGACATTTTAAAATCTGAACAGGATCAGCTTATCAGTCCCATTTTTTGTCTGTAGTACTGCCTTTAAAAAAAGCCAGTACATGAGAAGTGCATGTAAGTAAATTGCATGAGCTGTCACTGTGATTCTATTCCACCAAAGTTGTACTTCTTAACATTCTCATATTTCTCAAAAGCATTTTTGGTAATTTTTTAAATTTTAAAAAATATTTATTTTTTTATCACTGATAATTTTTTGGATCTTGTCTGCTTTGGAGGTCAAATTCAATTCATAGCTCTCCATAATTTCCTTCCTACAACTGTTATTTTTCTTGTTTCTCTCTAGTCTATTGATACCTTGCCATTTCAGAAAGGGTATAAAAGACCTGGTAGTCCAATAATCTGTCTGTCATCTCTTTCAGGACCCCAAAGTGTGTCTCATCTGGTCTTTGGGCTCTGACTATTTTATGGATTTTAAATTACACAAGACTTGTTCTGGAGAGGTTGCTAATGTCTCCAGTTTTTCACTGTCCACCCAAGGACACATTGTTTTCACTTCTGCCATCTCACCTTCCATTTTCCTTGCAAGATGAAGAATGTGTTTAATTTTTCTGCAATACCTTATTCTGTTGCAAAGTAATTTTCACTGCTCTTCTTTGGTTCAATGCCTCTTCCTACTTATCTTTTGTGTACTTCTGAAATCTTATGTTGGTTTCTTTACATTCATTTATTTTTGGTATTTTATTTCCCAATTATTGATTCAAGATTTTGTTATAATCACCTTCTCCTTGACTAACGCCTTTTTCCTTGCATGTCTCAAATGACTTAATCCTTCTCTCAGGAATGTATAACTTCATAGGCCAGCTAACCAGACTTTTGGTTTTTAATATTTCCTCTTAAAAAGAATAATGTATTGCTTATCAAAGAGGCTGATGTGACAGAAGATAGCACAAGAGAGGTATAGGAGTGCAGAGGCCTCAGAGAACTGGTTCCTGTGCCTGTATCCACAGCAGAGCACACATGCAGGCCAGAGATGGGTTGCTGGTTGCCATGGAGGGGATGGATAGGACAGCATCCCCTGGCATGCCAGAGCTGTTGGAGTGGTAATTAGAGGAGCTCATAATAGGACCAGACACCTTTAACCATCTGTGTTAAGGTACCCAACACCCTTTTCAACCACTTTCCCTTAATTTGGCTGTTAGCTGTAATATTATTTGCAGTGTATTTGATCTGCATCATTGGTTCTGCTGCACTATTTGAAACACAGGATTAAACACAGCTTTGATAGAGTCATATTTGCAAGCATGAGTAAATAACATGCATGAACACATGGGCAGCATCTGGGATGCAGAGCCAGTAAGACTTGCTCACGGGTGTTGTGGGGTGTGAGAGCTTGGGCAACTTCAGCAAAAGCAGCTAGGGACTAAGGGGTAATTTTCTGTCAGGGATACCAGGCCAGCTTCGAGATTGCTAAACAGCATCTCTTGCAGCTTGATCCTGAGCTTTTAATCCAGTTTCCAACGCTGGTGATATCAGCCTGACCTGAGGTAATGGAAACAGAAGGATGTGGCCGGTTGCTATCCCGTGACACAGTGTGCGGCACCGCGGAGGCTCTTACACTGAAATCGCCATGGTACGGTATCGAGGACAGCAGCAGTGCCTCTTAACGAGGATTTTATTCCCCTTTGCCATGCCATTCATAATGCAGCAGTCTGATAAGCTGGGTGGTTTGGCCCATGTATAATACTAATCCTCATAAAACTGACTCTGAAGTAATTGATAATTAAATCCCTGAACTGCTGTGATGGACTGCAAGTATTATGAGTGCATTGAGGGCTTTGCTAGTTTTACGTTATGCCAAGCAGAAAGTAAAATAATGATGAGTGCTCCCTCAAGTGTGATCTCTAAGTGCGATGCCTAAAGTGTGGTTGGATCAGTGATCCTTCTTCTTCAGTTTGATGTAGGACATGTGGTAGCATTGGCTGCAAATGCCTTATTAGGCAGTGCTGCTCCTTCGGTGGTGCTTTGCCCCAGGTGGGTCAGACAAGCAGCCTGACTGTAAAGAAAAGTGTTCTGAAAAGTAGGTAAAATAAGAAGTAATTGAATTATGATATAGGTGCCATAGAGTCTCTGAAATCTTAATATTTGTTTATTTTATGTAAATAGACTCTGCTCTTTCTATGGGAAACTTGTAAGTGAAAACAAGCATTGAAGCATACTGTGTCTATAACATGTAAAATATTAATATGTTTTCCTTGGTTATAAAGACTTCTTGAAGCAAGTGTGTTAGGATTTGCATTCATTAGCTGATTATTTTGATGGAATTAGTGCCTGATTTTGAAAAGTATAAAAGAGATCTCATCGTTAAAGCTTCACTTTAATTATGCTCATTAATTTAACTTAATTCTACATTTTTCCGTATGTTTAGGGTATTTTTTTCTCAGAGAGTGAGTTAATGAAATGTTACTTCCTTATCACCTCTCTGTGTATTAAACTTGTCAGTCCCGAGGGTTAGCTACTCCTCTCATTTCTAAGCAAGTCAACTTTCATTGAAGATAGAATTTATCCATAAATCAGGACTGCAATATTTGTCATTCCTTGGACAGACACAGATATATGCATCTATTTGTGTCTTTGCATACATCTAATGTATTTCATCTCAAATGCCAAAATATGTCTACAGCTTTCTCCCAGCAGGAAAGCTTTTTTTTCATGTTTATTCTCAGGAATAGATAACCTAATAATGACCTATTAATTGAACATGTAAATTAGATTTGAAGATGGAAAAGAACTTTTGAGATAACTTCCTGCAATATTGCCTTACTGCTACTCCAGCTCTGTCTGTACTTGCAGTCTGAGGTACTTGGATTTGAACTGGACAACTTCTTAACTGGTTAAGGAAAGAGGGACAAGGGAATAGTTCAGAGAGGAAAATGCTGTCTGTCCTGCACTAACCTGCAGAGTTTTCAGTTCACACTCTCTACTTTCTTTGAGAGAGCAATCTGACTATATTTAATTTAAAAAAAAAAGTTTCAAAGGGACACACACGCTTTCTCATTAATTTTTTTAAGGACACTGTCATCTTACTTGAGACATTGCCATCTGCCACCTCTCTGCTTCAGTTACTGTGTCTTCAAGGAACCAAACCCCATCATATTAGAAGGCTTCTCTATATGACAGTTGTATCAAGCTGCCATTTGTCAGAACAGTATGTGGAGCAATCTGGGTGTAGTGGCAGGCAAATGCTTCCTACCTTGCCTCCTTCCTGCTGAGAGCCAAGCGTTGTCTCTGGCTGGACATCCACAGCCCTTCTGAGCAGCCAGTGGGATGCAGCTGGACAGATGGGATGCAGCTCCAGTGCAGAGAATTGTTCTGGCTGCTCTGGCTGCCAGTGGAGAATGCAATGAGTGAGGCTCATGCATGGATGATTCCTGTGCTGCAAGCTTTTGAGGGATGCTGTGCTTTTCACAGTAGCTGCCAAGCGAACACGGACATTTGCAGCTTGAATGAGTTGTGAGATGACAAGTTGTTGGGGTGTTGAGAATGTGCTAACCAGCCTTGGTTTGCCTGGGAGCTGAGAAGGCACAGAACAGTTTTTGGTGCTTTTAAATCTGAATGGTGAGGAGGTGAGCATTTACTACCATATGATGGTAGACTGACCCATCAGAAGTTAATCAGTGTTCAGCAGTGACAACTGTTTGGCCTTTGGAACTGACCTGTCCCAGGCTTGATGGTATTTGGATGAGAAACCATCAGGGCAGCTGGGCTCAACCTGCTCACTGCTGTTTAGGTGTAAACCATTAAAGCCTCTGTTTTAAAGCCCCTTTCCTCAGTTCTTGTTCGGAGAGAAGTTATGTCTATACAGGGAAACCAGAAATGAAGTGGCAGCAGAAAAGATTTCTCACTTGTGTGATTTGTTTTCAATCTGCAAAGATACCAATGTTTGGGTTAACTCAGAGCTGGGTTAACTCAGCTTGTATTATCTCTGACTGATGCGGTGACATTGGAGATAAGTTCTTTACCCCAGATTTCCCAATATGCAATGAGAATAGTGATGTTCAGATCATCAGTAAGTGAAAGAAAATGACATCTAATGATTAAAGTTTTAGCAGGAACGCTGGTTAAAAAAAAATAAAAAAGGGAAAGGAAAGAAAACCAAAACCCCTACAACCAGATAACAAAGACTTGCCAAGGATCCCTGAATTATGGAGTTTTAAAGTCTTGAACTGCTACTCTTTTTCATAAGAACATATCTGTATAACTTGTTTCTTTAATTTTTCATTCATTTCAGCTAAAACATATTTCAAATTTCACAGAGAAATTACATGAAAGTTGCTTTTTACCCGTGCACGAAGATGCAATTCTTATGCAGTGGGGATGCATAAGTGAAGTTCAGACTTTTAACAAAGTCTCCCCAGGCACATCTAGTGTGTGTCAATCAGTCCCTAACTCAAAATGTTTTTATGTTTCTGGATGGGAACAGCTTGAAGTGTCACAGAAAATCACTTGTGTGCATACAGACAACAATACTTAATTCTATAATTAGCTTCAGGCAGTGAAACAACTAGAAAGATTTTTAAGCTTATTTTGGCAGATTTTCATTAAAATAAAAACTGCTCATTAAAATAACTTTTGTTTTGAACTCCCAGAACTTGTTTGCAGGGGTACTTCTATACTTTTAAGGAACAGAAATAAAGCAAAAAACATGCATGAGAAAACTTGATGAAGTTTAGAACCGAAAATGTGTACAATAGGCTGGTGTCTCATGTATTTTAATGAGAAAGAATACACAATATTACTTAGCTTTAAGGATTTGAATGCATCCCTAATGAGGATAATGTCCTGCCCCCAGGTTCTCATGGTACAGAAAAAGTGGATTACAAAGAAAAGAAGTGAAAAACAATTTAAGGATGATGATGAGTTCAAGATGCAAAATATTGTTAGTTCAGGGGGAATTGGAATTGAAGTCATAAACTAGAAACACACAAAAAAATATGAGAAAAAAACACTGAATCCTCTGCCAAAGTCTGGAAGAATGACTTTGAAGAAAAGCTAAAGATGGTTGAGCAGTTTGTAACCAAAACTCTTTTGGTTTCAAGGAAATTCTTCTTTTCTTCTTCTTCTTCTTCTTCTTCTTCTTCTTCTTCTTCTTCTTCTTCTTCTTCTTCTTCATTCATCATGCTTGGTCACAAACTGCAGATAACAGTCAATCTGGGGACTTGATGTGGGCATCCCTGTGGCTGAGTTGGGGACCTGGGAGTCTCAGGTGAGCCACACTGCTCTAGGCCAAGCATGTTTGACATTCTTTTTAAATAAAGCCATTTCTAACTTTATTCCACTGCCCCAGTGGAATTTCCCCTGTTTTGTAGCAGGAAGTCTGTGATATTTATAGTTTGTTGCTGTAAAATAGAAATATCTCTCCCTCTACCTCAATTTTCAGAGATGCTTAAGAAAAAGAAATCTCAGCTTATGTAGTCCAGGTGCATTTTTTGGAAACCTGTAAAACCCATGAGAGACAGCCCCATACCTTCTCCCTGCAGCCACTGAGCTGGGCAGTTCCTTGCACCTGCAGGAGCCATGAGTACTTGTCTTGCCTTCCGATCTGGAGGGTGCCTGGGCTTGGTCCTGTCACTGATGCAGCACATGGAGTATTTTGCAGTGGGTAGGGAGGAAGTCTTGGCTTTGGAAGCAGTCTGGCTGCTTTGCAGCTGGCCATAAATCAGCTGTAGTAGACCACTGTCAAAGCAGCTCTGCACAAACCTGGCAGTGAACTGATGGTGACTGTCACTGCCTATCTCTTCTCTGTGCTAATGTGCCTGCTCTGCTCTTCACCTGCACCTGGAAACTTTGAGCCCCTCTTCACAATATCCAAAGGAAGCCACATTCAGGATCATAGTCCAAAATTGCCTCTGCTGGTGCCAGGGATGGGGAGTGAATGGGGATTTTAGTAGTCTTTTATCACTCACTATAGATATTTGTTGTTTTCATTTGGATTACTCTCCACAGCATGTATTTCTGGGCTGGCAAAGGTGCTGCAGACATCCATCTCCTTGTGCCTTAATAAAGAACTCAACCCGGGGAAAGGGGGTACAAAAATGCATTTTTAAGAGCCTAGAGTATATAAATTGTTTTATTCATTGAGCAAGGAGCATTTTTTAGATCTTTGCAGGAATGTGTTTTATAGGAGAACAAAACTCTCTTTAGCTGGGTGTTACACCTATTTCTGTTTCAAAAGGAAAGGCTTAGTTACATTACACAAAGCTTAGCATTAGTATTGTGATGAGGTACACAAATATCTTTCAAAATCCCTGTAACATTCTTCCGCTCAAAGGAGTTAGTCTTGTTTTCTCTAAAGTCTTCTCAAAGTGAAATGCTTCATTAAAATTAATAAGACTGTGACCTACATAGTTTACAAAAGAATTAAATACTGTAATAATATGACCATATTCTTACTGTGCAGTTAATTTGTATTTTTCTTTATATTATGACTGTTTACTTCTTCCTTTGAAGTTTGTGTCGGGCTAGTGTACAAATAATGTTCACTGAATAACAACAGAAAAAGTGTGACTTTGTGACCTTTTCTGACAGAATATGTTGACAGCTTTTAATGTTGCCTTTTCTCCTATCCCACTGGTCCTGATTAAACACTCTAGCATCAGGTTTTGGAGATTGTTATTAATTTTTTTTTTTTTAATATGTATTTTTGCTGCACAGAATTCCACAAGGAACAGGAATCTGGTATTCTCAAATCTAGGAAGAAAAAGCTCTGTGCAAATTTATGTACACTTGAGGTCTGGAGTCACTTGGTATCCAGACCTTCCAACCAAAAGCAAAATCTAATCTTTGGCCCTTGAGCTTGAAGGCAAGACTGCCATGATCATGGACCTTTGGCCTGTGAAGGGAAAGAGGAACATTTGTGAATCTGTGTTCTGTATTTGCCTAGAAAAGTTTGCCTAAGCAAGAGCAGCAGTGTACAGGTTAGGACGGAAGCTGAGGACAGGTGAGAGGTTGGTAACCAGAGGCAGGCACCACAGCTGAACTGCTGCTGTGGTCTAACTCCAGGTGTCATAAATCTGCTGCTGGATGTCACTCACGTGGGCTGATGTCTTAGCAAGGAGAAGTCCACCAGTAGAAATGGCCAATGGTATGTTAAAAAAGTTAGACTTTACAGGTCATGCCCTTGTTCCCAGGCTTGGCGCAAGAAAAGGGAATTTTTTTTAGTGGAATTTGAAAGAAGAACTTCAAAGAACTGTTTTCTTTGATGAAATACAAAGAAGTTCTGTGTCCTTGAAGAGGATTGTTGCTGGTTTACAATACTTTCCAAAACTGGAAGTTATGCGTAGCATTTGTCTCTGTGAGTTTTTTTTAATTGGCACACAATAATTGTAAAATTAGAAAGTGATACAGCATTGAAGAAGATAATATTAAAAAAAATTCGTAGCAGTGTTGAACTATGTTACTTTGCTGGAAGTTTGAGCTATGCCCCATGGGTACTTGGCACTTTTCACCTTTTAAAAATGATTGTGACCTGAAATTTTTACACCAAATATCTTCTCAGTGCAGCAAAAAATAAGACATCACTGCAGTCTGATCAGCTCTTTAAACTTGTATTCAGTCTTAGTACTGCCTTTATGTAGCTAGGAGATACAGGTAATGGTCAGTGTCTCACAGTTAATTTATTTAACAAAAATTTTTTCTTTTTCCTTCTTTCAGTTGATCTTAAGAAAGGATCATGTCCAAGTGCTGCAAAATCAAATCTCCCAAAGCCCTGCCCGTCTGGACTTCGTCCCCCAGGTTATTCACGGTTGCCAGCAGCTAAGCTGGCTGCATTTGGGTTTGTCAGGAGCTCGAGCGTGTCCTCTGTCTCCAGCAACCAGTCGAACGACAGCGCTCAGAGTGACCAGAGCAGGACAACTAACCGTAAGTCCCAAAAGTGCCCTTCTTTCTGGAGGGCTATTAAAAAGATGTGTTCCAGGATTGTCCAGACTGTCGTTTCCAGATAGCTCAGAACTAATGAAATCTGTGCAGTACTTGCTAGTCTCTTCTGTGCCACTGACTTCGGTTTGGTATCTCGATTGCCCAGTAAAGTTTTAAAAAAATATTAATAATAATTATTAGATATTAATAGACAAGCATGAAATTGTAACAACTGTTTAAAATATTAATGGTAACACATGAATAGAGCCTGAATGTTGAGGAGATTGTTGTCTCTGCTACAGAGAAAATTCCATTAAGAGTGAATCTGAGGCATTCTTTCTTACATTTTGTTTTTACCTGGAACATGCCTTCTTACAAGCTGAAATAGTAAATAAACAGAGTGAACTGTCTTTGGCAAGTAAATGGCAGCCAATGCAGAACAGGACAAATATTGTCTAAAATAGGAGATACAGTCTTTCTCATCTACTTTTCTTCTGCTTCTTAATTTTCAGTACAATAAATTCAGCCAGTGATATGAAAAACTGAGCCAGTGATATGAAAGAGATCAGGACTGATATCGTAGTACATCTACCAGACTTTGAATGATCCCCTGGCAGAAATGTCATTCCAAATCCTATTTTCTGCAAAGGCTGTTAATTTTATTAAGCACAAAATAATACCCACTGGATTCTGCAGTCCTTGGGAAATGTGCACATGCCCTGGGCTCAGAGCAGAAAGGGGGATTGAGGGATTTTCATGCCCGTTTTTCTTTGAAGGCTGGATTGAGCCTGAGCTGTGTCAATATCAAAGCAAGTGGTATCAGCCCAAGAGGGGTGCAGACAGGGCCACCAGGTGACTTGAAGCAGCAGAGGAGACAAGATGCTGCAGTCTCCTAAATCTTTCACTGTTTGTATTAATTTGAAATTAATTAAAATAAATACAATTAGTATAGTTCAAAACCCTAAGGATTTTCTCTTTCCCCTTTACATGGGGTGATTGAAATGCAAAAGACTAATGTCAGCAGGGACTTTTAACTTTTCCAATGATCCCAAACATGCTTGTATCTTGTTTTACTATTGGACTGATCACTCATTTTTTGGTTATTTCCTGATAGACTTTACTTTGAGGTCAGTCAGCCTCTTTCGCTTTGTGCTTTTACCCTACATTTATGCCTTTGGAAAACTTCTCCTTTTATCTGGTGTTGTCACCTTTTAGTCTTTATTTACATAAAACCTGTGTTAAGGACAGAATTACCTGATATCTGATTAGATCTAAACTACATCTCTGCAAGTAATATTGTTGTTTAGCAGTTTCAGGTGTGAATCTGAAAAAATGACAACTGTAGGTACAGCACTAGCCTTGAACACAGGTTGAACACTGGAGGAATACAGGTTCATACAAATCTAAAAGCAAAATACTCCAGGCTGCAGAATTTGAATTAATTGTTTTCTAAAAAAAAAACAAACCAAAAACTGTGGAAGAAGCATTAGCAATCTCAGTCATAGAAAGTTACATCTGATTCTTCAGTTCTCTTAAAAGAAGTTGATTTCATTTCTATATTCTGGTGTATTTTTCTATTATCTTTTTATATTAAAAACTGAAACCACATTCCAGTCACTGGAAGGACATGGAAGCATTTGGTTTCAGCTGACTCAGCTGAGGATAGTAGCACTCTTTAGTGTTGGGATCAGGATGATGTGACCATCTTGTGCATCTTACAAGACCAATTTTGATGGGTATGAAAATTACCCAGGGGAAGTGTTCTGCTTGTACAAATTCATGTGGAGATGAGCTCAGCCCATCACCTGATGAAAAACAGCACCTATAACTTTGCTCTTGCTGCCAAGTTAGCTCATGGAAGCTGTTGTCTAGTTTCCCTCCACCTCCACGTGAGAGCAAGAGAATGAGCCCCTCCTAAGGGTCATCTCTCTCATGTGGCTCTTGTGACATGCTCAGCTGTCTGGCCCAGAGGTCTTTTACTACTCTGTAGTTCCAAAAGGATAGTGCTTTCTCCTGGACAAAAGTAAGGGAAGGAGAAGGTGTGCTGCCAAGCAGGTGAGGGCACATCTGGTGTTTAGAGTAAGTTGGTAAGTCATGACTGGGTAAGTCATCACACCAGGTAACGCTTAACATCACCTGCTTGCTTTGGATTAAAGACAACATGACTCCTGTTCATGGGGCAGATAGGTAGGAAGAAAAAATGTTTCCTCACTGTTAATTTATTAACTTGCATACAAATGTTATCTGTATGAAACTGTGCCATCTTTTTCTATTCATAGTCTGTGTGCTAGCAAGAGTTAAATTAGTTGTCCAGCACCCAGGGAGCACAAATGAGTTCCTTTCCATTCTAATATTTAACTCAGAGCAGCAGTGCACTTCACCATGCATAGAAAGCATGCAGGGGAGAAGTACTGGCTCAGGAATATTAGCATGACATATTATTTCTTCCCTTCACTGTCTGCTGGAAGAACAGTTTTATTTAAATTAAATAAATAACTGATTCTGTAGCTACTACCTGAGATCATGTCTTTGACTAAATCAGATCTCCTAGAGGGCAAGAAAAAGCTTTACTGTTAATTTCCTAGCTCAGTAGGGTAGAAAAATGCAAAATTATCTAGCTTTAGAAGTCTTCAAACATACATAACACAATTTTCTATTTAAGCACTATCTCTGCATGTCAGGGAGAAAAAAGTAGTTGATAACATCTTACAAGTGTGCATTTGTTATAAATAGAGGAGCTGCTACTGTTGTAAATCAAGGGGCTCATTTCAAAATCATGACATATTGTAGGTTATTGAAAAGCCAATGACTATGGCTAGGTGAGAGGAAAACACTGGTTTATTTTAGGGGCAGAGTGTTTTGGGGTAAACAGTGATTCTTTAAGGGACCCCAGTGAGGTCCTGTTCTTGCTTTTCTCTCCTCTGCCAGATGTCTTGTGGTGCTAGTTCTGCCTAAACACATTTCTTTTCAGAAGTCCCAGCTAGTGTCTCTGTCTAGGGAGTAAAACCCACCTGTTTAGAAAAAGGAGACATAATGTTTGTGTTGAGGGGAAGTTTGTTAATGGAGCTGCAATGCGGCAGCTTTGTTCTTCATCAGATTTCTCCCTTTCCTGTGACCCCTCTAAAAGCAGTACGTACATGTGCATGGAGCCTGTGCTGTGCCTCTTCAACAGTATTGACTTCCTGGTGATACCTTGCATGTTCAGATTGACTCAATTAAATGGATTTGAAGCTATGGGACTGTGCTCTTTTCCCATGGTGAGACAGGACACACTGCTCACTTGTCTGCTTGTCTGCTTGTCCTCAGGTCTTTCCTGGAGTTCTGTCCCAGGGTTGTGGGTGTCAGCCAGGCTGCTTTTTGCCAATAACATTCCAACAAGTGACAGTCTTGCCACCAGCTGCTAATCAGGATCAGTCATAATGGGGCCCTGGTCCTATGAGGTCCTGCCCAATTTTGTATTGAGGCTGAAGGAGCAGCCTCTGGGAAAGCCCAGGCTGAGGCTCAGCTCCTGGTCCTGCTACCAGTACTCCACAGATCTGTTCTGTGGCACAGATAGGTCCTGCCCACTAATATCTTTGTTTACAATTACCTGAAAAATTAAAATTTAGCCCCAGATCTGGTATACTACTTCTGAAGTTTTCAAAAGATGCCTGATATTTTAAACCATTATTCTTTATTTAGAAGAAGGGAGTTTTGTACATCTAAAAACTTATTGCTTGTTTGCAGTCTAAATTGACTAGAAATGAAAAATTGAGATACTTCAGTCTTAGATGAGTGTGAAGGTATTCTGCAAAATATGAGAAAAAGTGAATGACTAGAAAGTCATGTTAAACCACCAAGACTTGGTGTGGAAACAATTGTGTAAGCATAAAAAGAAACTTCCAATTTAAACAACCTGTGAAAAAATACTTAACTTTGTGTATTTTCCTTTGGAATTTTAAATGCACTATATGGAAGGTTTCCCTCTGTCTGTCCCAATAAATTTTGCATGAGAGGTTCACGTCATCCACCGAAGGCCCACAGTGGTGGGATGTGGTTCCCAGGATTATCTTGTGATTCTGCAGTGAGGTAACATGATGCTCAGACTGTACCTTCTGTTTTACTGGTTTGAGGAGCTCAGAGTTCTCTTGCCTGTATCTGCATTTTGAGTGACTAGCTGAATGTCCCGCTCACACAATTAGCTTTATGTCCTTCATCAGCATAGACTCTAACTTGCTGTAAGTACCATGTGGGAAAGAGTTTGTCAGGCACTGTGGAAGAATTTGATGTGTGGAGGATAGGAAGAAGGGTGGATTGTTTAGAATGAGTTAAGGTATGCTAACTGCTATGAGTTCAGGAGATGGAAGAATGTTGGTATAATATCGGGAAATACTTCATAGTCACAAGGTCTACTAGTCTGTTAAATGATCTTCCAACTCAAGAGATGAAATCCCTGTTGCTCAAGATTCTTTAAATAGAACAATGGCATGATGTTAGAGGCAATTCTTCTCCGTCGACATGCTAGACTAAAAGACATAATGCTATTCAATATCTACCTGAGTGCTGAAGCAATTTATTTTGGGAGTGAACAAGAAAATGGTGATGAATATTTCAAAACTTGTTTTAGTGTCTCACGACAGCTATTGTTTTGTTAAAAATGATAGAAAGATGAAACTGCATGTTTTATTGATGTAAGCCTCCATGATCCTTTCTTCAATATATATATTTCTCACTGGTTTTGACCTTGAATTGCCTGGCCTTGCTAAATGTTGAATTCTAATAAGCAAAAATGTCAAAGTGTCAGATTCAGGTGGGTGGAGAATTGAAGAAATTAAAGTGAGCACAGAAGCCTTGAATAGATGCCTAATTACCTCCAAAATGGGTAGAATGTTCAAAATTGTCACATGGTTGACAGGTAAACCAGTTGTTCTTAAAAACATAAGTATTAGTTAATATGAAGAATTTCCTGTATGAAAATACTTTCCAATTATATTTCTGTGACTGATTTTCTGTTCAGTTTTCTA